TCTTTCCAAGATGCTCTATTCCAACACTCTTACATTTGAGGGGTAAAAAAACCACCAAAACAACAAACCACACAAAAAACAAACTACACAACAACAAAAAATAAAACCGCACCCAGAAAAACCACCATATAGTTGCAAGTGAGTTGTCATAATGAGCTCAAGTTCAGAAGACAAGCTAAGAATTCCCCCCCCCTCTCTTTACAAAAAATGGATTGGTATAGATACACTAATTGGGGAAAAAAAAAGAATGCTTTTTAAATTATTTAAGTTGATTTTGCAAGTATATTCTGAAGTAAATCAAAATCATCCTGCTTTAAATAGCCCTGAATTAATCTTGGGAACTATGATTTTGAAGGGCTACCAAGTCTTACAGCTGTTATGTTCTACGAACGTGGGGGGAAAGGGTGTAAATGCAACCCCTTAAACACTGTGTCTAAGCACAACAATACAAGTATTTATGCACTGTCAGCAGCACAGCTTCACGCTGCATACTGAATCCTTAGGAGAAGTACACTGAAAACTTCTGAAAAATTCACAGACCTCCTAAAACATGACAAATAGACAGTCAAGAAGCATCACAATATTAAAATGAGCAAAAGACTTCTAAGAAAGCTATCAGAAAGCAGACATGTATTTCAGGGAGCTACAGCAAAATGCCTGAGAAAGACAGCATGAAGCTTTGTCAGATGCAGCTTGTTACATAACTCCTGCAACTGCTCGCAAGCAATTATGCATGTTTACTGTATTATGTAAATAATGATACAAGCACATCTTACAGGCCTTAATTTTGCCCCATTAATGACTTTGTACTGTAGTTTAAGCCATCACTGTCTTCTATTTGAAAAAAGGACAAATTAAAATGCATGGCCTAGAGTACCCATCCATGCAACTACAGCTTTGAGGTTCTTGACATGTTTTATTTCTAACAAGAACAAACTGTTCAGAAGCCAAACACAGTACCAAGGGGAACACCAATAAAAACAAATGAGAAAACTGCAGGCTTCTTTCAGGCATGACATACGCCTTGTGCTAAAAAATCACAAGTTACCTCGAGTTTCACAAAATCTGAATACACAAAAGTATTCTAGAAAACACAGCCAGGATGAACAGAACAAGAACCAGAAGGGTTTGTTTCCCCCTTGAAGGTATGTTAGGGTATTCAATTTGCATTTTCAAAAGATCCTGCAGTCTGGAAATAGTAGCTGAGGAGGACAACAGAGGCCATCTGTACATGCGAATAAGGGACAGTGCGCCAGAGCATCACAGGCCAGTGACAGATTCTACAGAACAAAATAGAAAAAAAATGACAATACCAAGACAAAACTGCAGGATGAAGAAAGCCTAGTTAGTGCCTGACCTCAGGGCAGTAAACCACACTGTACAGTTATAGAAGTGGGATGGTCACTTTTTAAGTGAGTAGGTCTATTTGCATGTACCTAGGAAAAAAAAAAACCAACCCACTGTTTTTTTGCTGTCCAAACCGGCTCCTTGTTCCAAACAATATTTTCATACTTCAGATTTGCTCCAGGTGTGACTCACCAGTCAACGTGATCAGAACAATCACGTTCCTGCTCTTCTTCTCCTGTCAAAGGACAAGCATGACATTGCTTTTCTTTTCAATCTAGTAAAAGTAGGCCACCTTCCCACTCTTGAGCTAACACTGTAACATCTGACTTTATTTTGTAAAACTGAAGATATAATTGTAACAGCCAATTTGCCAGGTGCAGCTGAAATACTGGTACGTGACAGGAAGACAGTTTTGCTTGTTCCCTCGTGCTAGAAATACCGCAGAGAGTGAAAAGGAATAAGAATAGAGAGAAAAAAAAAAGAACCAAAGCTTTAGAAGATAATCTTCTATATTTGCAAAATGTGACATATATGCTTAAAAAGCTGCTTGTAAAGTAGGATAAAACAGTTAAGATGTAATCTCTGCTTGAAGTTTCTCTATGTACTGGAACATGGGTTGGAAGACCCTAGAAGAGTTCAACCTTTTTCAAATTTAGGATAGACAAGAGTGTTTCCCAGGTAACTCACAGCCATGTTACAATTAGCATTTCCATTCACAGTTGAACTACAGCTGCAATTCTTCCTTACCTGCTAATGCCAGCTGAAGTCCACTTATATCCACTGACTGGGCCATGTTCCCCACATCCATTGAAGCAATCTGCCGAGGAGTCTTCTTGAACAGTTCTCTAGGAGGGGCCAACATCAGTTGAGAAAGAAAGAATTTTTCTGGAGGAGTTATGGGAGGTAAAAAGCCTGTGGAGACACAAGGAAAAACAATCCCCGATTTTTAAGGCAGTAGCATTAATGGTTGCCATATGCTTCACATAGAACAGCAAAAATAAAACCCAAACTAATGTGTTATTTATGGTAAGATCAGTGCTACTTAAGAGTCTCTGCGAGTACATATGAAACTGCTAACCTACTCAGCTCCTGAAGTGATGTAAAATACAGGGCTATACTGATCGGCGTCATGCGTCTTGACATGCAACATAGAATGGTTTGGGCTGGAAGGGACCATCAGGGACCATCCAGTCCCAACCCCCCCCCCCCGGGGAGACGGGGGGGAGCCCACCGCCCCCCCGTGGACAGGGTTGCCAACCACTGGATCAGGCTGCCCAGGGCCCCATCCAACCTGGGCTTGAACACCTCCAGGGATGGGGCAGCCACAGCTCCTCTGGGCAACCTGTTCCAGTGTCTGACCACCCCCTGGGTGAAAAATTCCCTCATAATATCTAACCTAATTCTCTCCTCTCTTAGTTTAAAACCGTTTCCCCCTATCCTGTCACTATCTGCCCGTGTACAAAGTCGCTCTCCCTCCTGTTTATGAGCTCCCTTCAAGTACTGGAAGGCCGCAGTGAGGTCTCTCCGGAGCCTTCTCTTCTCCAGGCTAAACAAACTCCCTCAACCCTTATTCATATCTGAGGCCAAGTCAGTCAGAGCGGTTTCTTTACACGCTATCCAATTTACACAATTAGTGAGCTATTAAATACGTTAATTTAGCAGACATTACAATTCACGCTCTAAGTTACAAAAGTAAATCTTTTAAGAAGCCGATTTACCCGCCGTTGTCACGCTTGCATCTACTGAAGCGGGGAAAAGTGTAGGTACGTCTTTGCGAGGTTTGTTTCACAGCTTTAACGCTGCCAAAAGCCTCCCGTTACCTCCGGGTTTTGTCCCGGCGTTTTCCCGGGAGCCCCGGAAAACTTCCCCCGCCTCCTCGCAGCCCGGCAAGCGCAAAGCGAGCGGCGGGACGCCGAGAGAGAGAGAGGCCGGGCAGGGGCGCCCACAGAGGCCGCCCCGCTGAGCGGAACCCCCGCCGGGAGCTGCGGGGAGGCCCCCCCA